AGAACTGTAGAAAGAGCACTGTCTTTGGAGTCACCAGAACAAAATGTGAATCTGAGCAATTCCAGGTACTGGCTATTTGGCCCCAAAAAAGTTGTTCGACCTCTCTGAGTTCAGGTTTCTGCCTCAAAAATCAGAGGGCACAATCCCTACTTTTAAGGCAGGGAGGGAGGAAACCAAAAGGAAATGATTCCTAGGAAGGGCACACAGCAGGGGCTACCCTCTCCCCTCACTCACCTCCCTGTTAAAGAGATTGCAGGTGTGGAGAATACACTGTTCCCAGAGTCCCAGAGAGAACTGTGGTTTGGCCAAAAATAGTCATTTGGTTGACCAAATGACTAAAAGTTTGTCATATGCTAATGCATGGACGGGGCGGACCTTCAGCCAATTTAGTAGGAGTAAATTGCAATTGATTTTCGAAGAAATTGCTTGTTCTCTTTCTTTCCTCAGCTGTGTCACACTCTCTCACACACAGCTGCCTTTGCTGTGTCAGGACCAGCTGAACACATGTTAAGGAAGGTCTTACTGAGGCAATACACTTGACAACACAGACATCCTCACCTACAGATGCTATAAATTCATGCCCCCACGAGCAGGCACGTTTTAGATACAAATGAGTCTGTGTGTGTGTGTGTGCACGCGCGTGGCAGGTGCACAAGTTTCCATAGATGTTTAGAAGGCTCCTATTTAGACATAATTCTGCCACCAGGCCACATCCTTCTGTATGATTTACAAACTGCCCTTTGCTTGGAAAGCTATCCTGAGTCATTCTGAGTTTTACAGCCTGCTGTTTGAAGAAAGAGCATGAATGAGCACACCGCTAAAATTTCTCCAAATACTCTGCAGCACTGTACCTACAAATCCTGGGAAGGAAGTGAAAATGGTTAAAAGATCACAGAAGATAAGATATCATCATAGAAAAGGTTAACAATGGCTGCTTTCACCCCTACTTTCTGATATGGTGATAGACCCTCTCAGAACATTAATTAGAATGGAAAAAGAGATGAAAGAAATACCCACAGGACATAATAAATTAGCCCCTTATGCAAATTACCCATTCGTTTTCATCACTGACCCAGCTAGTGGAGTCTCTAAATTACAGGAAGTGGTTAGCTTCTTTAACAAAAACATTCCAGATGAAAGATTAACTTTTTTTTTTTTAATCTAGGGGCCGTGAGGACTGAAAGCAACAAATAATTTTTCATTTGTCCTTGCAGACAATTCTGAAGCAGGACAAAAGATGAAAATTAACGTTCCAGCCAGTGAATCCTGCTACTAGAGACCTATTAATTAGTCCTTGTTCTGAAACAATGGACAGCCATCTCTTAACTGAGGTCCCTGGCTGTAGCTCTTGCCCTGACTGTAAGACATACAGTGTTGTGTCCAGAAAGGGACACAGATCCGAACAGGTCAAGGGCAACTGAAAAGAGGTGGGGAAAAAGCCAGGATACTGAGAGTTTCAAGTACCAGTTTAAAAACAAACACATACTTAATTTCACTTGTCATCACTGTCCTAGACAATTTATGCTCCACTGTTCTAGAAATTTACGGAATGCTCAGTTTTCTTATCAGTATGATAGGAGCTTGGGCTAGAATGACCTACAAAGTTCTACAGCACCTGCAATCTGGTGATTTTATTTATCCCTATAAAACAAACAGCACTTCTGATAATTTAATATGCTTAAATATAATCTATGGCATGCATTTTTGCCTACCGAACTCACTCCTGGCTTCATTTCCTCTTTCCTTATTTTCTCCATTTACTGATTTTTTTTAAACTTTATATTTCTCCATATATTCAGTAAGTGTCTTATATACATTTGAGTTCAAAGTAAGCTGTACATTGAACAAATCATGATTTATAAACATTAATAGGAAAGATACATATGCCATAATCAACTGTATCTGAGGTATAAAGAAAATGCCAGAAAGAAAAACAGTAAGACCCAGCATAATACAAACTACAAACCACTCAAGAAAGAAGGGAGAATGTGTTAGAGATCATCCTTATCCACTGCCTTCAGGACTCTCAGGAAGGTCAAATACTCACCCAAGATCACCCAGCCAGTTAGGGATTAAGCTAGAAACAGAACACAGGACTCCTGACTCCTGGACCAGTACTCTTTGGACCAAAGAAGCCCAATTTGATAACATTTTCTGATAATTTGGGATTATGCTCCCCTCCAAAAAACAAAACAAAAACAAAACAAAACAAAACAAGGCATCCTTTAGAAACAACAAACTTCTACAGCAGAAAAATTAAGAGATAGCAAAGAAATACTTCAGAGGACTAAGGAGAAGGAGTGAGGACAGACATATTGGCTATAAATAATTTTGCACCTAATAACAATCTTCAGTTCATGCAATTACCTGTCACTCACTGATGTTTTATCTCCCCTTTCCTGGTAACAGAACTTGTAGTAACTCTATGCAAAGTATTTGACTGTCTCCATCTTCATAGCCTTCACTAGCACAGTTAGGCCTCTGTCATAGGACTTAAAAACCAGAATATCCTACTCCTCTATTCATGAAATGTTTTGAGGTTGACATTTAATCTAAATGCTACAATGTCACCTTCAGGAAGTGGTCAGTGACACAGAAAGACACAGTTCTTTGGGTCACCAGGCAGGTAATGAGTGATACACATAGATTAGGAGCATATTTTTGTAAAACAAAATGTGTGTGTGCCCACCTACTTACATAATCACATATATAGGAAAAATCTAAAAAGGCTTCTATCAACATTATTTACTTATAGTAGTTATCTTCTCTTTCCTTTTTTTTTTTTTGCCAGTTTATAGTTTCATATTGTTGTACAATAAAAATGGGTTGCTGAGGGGCAGGAGAGGGAAAGAAATAAAACCTAAAAGTAGTGGTCTGTGAAAGTGAAATGTGAGTGTACTTAGCATAGCCTTTGGAGGCGGAAGCCTCTCCCAGGTTTAAGGCTTGCCCTTTGCAGGGAGCAATAATTCTTCTGCCTTAAGGGGCATTGGGAAGAAGATTTATGGGGTGAGGTTGGAGGAATGGGAATCACTGAAGCTGAGAAAGGAAGGCTGAATCCTTAAGCACAGGAAGAACCCCTGCCCCAGATGATCACTTCCCACCAAAGAGCCTAAGGACAGGGGGCCCAAAGGAGCAGGAGGGACTCAGAGGTGGAACTGGGAAACCCTTCCCTAAAGGATACTTAAACTCCAAGCTAAGTTATTAAGAGACAGGACTTTCTTCAGGGCCTTTAAGATATAGGGCAGATTTTTCATTTCTGGCTCAAGATAGTTTACAAGCAGTCATTCTGAAGGTTCTGATTGTTAACCTCTTCAATCCATGACCAGGGACAAACTCTGCTGAAAAGAGCCCCATTGTTGGAGTCAGGAGCAAGATAACAACATGGCCTTATCACAGCAAGAAAAATGACCCAGGTTTATCAAGGACCAAACATTTCAAGCACTATGTTAGAAATTTTACATAAAGCATCATTACTCCACATAAACCTGTAAAGTAGGCATTGTCGTCACCCCATTTTATATCCAAGGAGGCACAGTGGGCTCCAGTAACCTACCTAGACAAAGGGAGTGACATAACTAGGAGTCACCAGGTTGGTGGAAGTACAAGCCTGTGTCCTTTTTAACACCAGTGTGTACAAAGGGTTGCAATATGAAGCTTCCAGAGCACTGGTGGAATAGCAGCTGGTCAACCTTCCCTGTCTATGACACAGAGTTGCTGGGGCCAGACAGAGTTCAATACGTAAAAGTCTATAAAGGAAGACTAAAGTCAGGTGACTCCAGTAAGTCACCCAAGTACCAAGATAAGACCTGGCAATAAAGAGGCTAGGTGACCTGGGAGAAACTAGACATGAGGAAAGTGAGCATGAAGGCCAATGCAAAGCTCAAGTAAGAATACAGATGTATGCATCCAGGGAATGGAGAGGGGAACAATTCAAAATAGAGCAGGTGACGGACCTGGAGGACCTGGTGATGGTCCTGCTGAGAGGGTCAGATTGGCAGAGGAACAGAGATGACCCCATAGTTTATTGGGTAGATAACTAGCCAGCTGACAATACTATTATATGTAAAGACAGGAGACTCAGGAAGAGAGGATGTAAGGAGAAAAAGGGAAGACGTGTTTTGGATGCACTATGCTTTAAAGTAACTGAGATACAGACAGATGGTGCTGTCCAGGACTCTTAGCTGGAAAGAGCAGCTTAGTGCTTGGGAGAGACTGGAGTAGAAGGGAAGGTTCTGAGTCATCTATACGAATAGCTGAGGTCCCAAGAATGTGTGAGGCGTGTCCAGAGAGGATGCAGCAGAAAAAGGCCAACTGGCCTCCTATACAGCAGTGTCCTGGCAAAGATCCCTGAGGCTACCCACAAGCAGTGTGACCCTAGCAAAATCCCTTCCCTTCTCTGAGCTTAGAGTCTGTAAAAGCAGAGGACTGGACTGGATCTCTATGAACACCTCTCTGATGTTCAACAATCCAAGGTGATGGGGACATCTGTTCTGAACCAAGAAGGATTTTGTTGCTAAGCAGACACCCAACATGACAAGCCTGTCCCTGACTTTCCAATGGGAAAGACAAGCACATAAATAAGTCCTCTTGGTGTGCCATGATTAACAGCTATCATAAAGATGACAGCATAAGACAGCTGGAAGGAGTCCTGAGTGGAAATGTCTGTATGGGGGAATTCAAACAAGGCCCTCAGAGATGAAATTCGACTGTGATCTTAAAGAAGTAAGAGAAGCTTCCAAAGCATAGGCAAGGCCACATGTAAAGGCCCAGGAAAGTGAATTCACATGAAATACCTGGAGAATGGTTTGGCCCAGGGAGCTTGAGGGGGAGGGGATAGAAGGCTTCAAAGAGGGCAGGTTAGTTAGGCTAGGCAGGGTGTCCTCAGTCTGCTAAGAAGTGACCACAGGCAGAGTAGGTAACAGGGAGTTAATGGGAGTCTCAAATAGTAGAGTAACAGAAAGAGAGCTGTTTCCAAGGGCAGGAGGGGGGGACCACCATACCTTTCACAGGTGGTATGTCCAAGCTTGTCTTGCTCATCCTGAGATGATGTCCTAAGGCTCTTCAACAAACAAAATTTTTCGTAAGATTTTTATTTTTTTAAAACAGTGACATAAATATGATGGTACATTATTAAATCAGGACCACTAAGCATGGCTAATGACTCACAATTCTTTCAGAAGAAGAGCTCAGACTCAAAGACAACTCATTGTTCCTTGAGCAAACCATTTCTTATTACTGGGATATCAATCCCAAGATCCTAAGACTTCAGAGAAGGTTAAGCCACTGGTAGGACTTGGTAGGGAAGTGGTGACAGAGCCAGAGGGTGGGACATTACTGTTCACCAACTCAAACTCAGACTTTTCCTTTTTTTTTTTTTTTTTTTTTTGGTACTGGTAATTGAACTTAGGGCCTCACACTTGCTAGGCAAGTGCTCTACCACTTGAGCTATGCCTCCCTGTCCTTTTAATTTCTCAGTTTGTTTTTAAAATAGGGTTTCACACTTTTGCCTCGGTCAGCCACAGACCAAGATCCTCCATGCCTGGCCCAGGCTGCTCTAATTCGAATTCTTTCCCTACAATCTCTCAAATTTGCCTCTTGCATGCAATGCAGTGAACTCTGGTTCTATGCTGAAGGGCCCGGCGTTGCTTGACTCTTTACAAAATCCAATCTCCCAATCAATATTTTTAAACCTTGGAGCCTCTTTCTCTCTTGCTGTGCAAAAGGGGCTTATCTCCTCCTTCAGATACTCCACCCTCGGGCATTTCTTGGAACCCACTGAACTTTCAAACCTTCTCACTGCTTTGTTCTCCCCCTCTGGAGTTTTAAAAAAAATGCCAACAGGTTCATCATCCTTTCAAATCACTATTTACTTCTTGCTATTGCTTGAACTTTTGTTTCAAGAAGAAAAGGGGAGGCAGATCAGAGGTTAAAGAGCAGAGGGCTGTGGCCAAGAAAAAAGGAAATGTCAAGCACTTCAGCAAGGCTTCCAGCCTCTGAGCCTCCAAGCGCCCACACAGCTCTGCCCTCCTGGCTCCCAGGAGACTTTGCAGCATTCCTTCTTCCACTCCAATATCTTCTCACACTGGCTCCCTTTTTCCCTGTGTACTTTGTGTTCCAGACCCCTGAAAACCACACTGGCACCAACCCGTAGTAAACACACTTTCTCAAGTCCCTTAGCTTCCACTATCAAATTTCTGCAAGAGTAAGCCCACCAACAGCTCACCAAAATTCTTGCCTGATTAGGTTGCTGGACTTCCCTTCTGCAGTTCAGGCTTGAGAACATGGAAGATTTTTTAGAGTCTACCTTATTTTTTTTTCCTTCTTCTTCCCCACCAGGCTACTGATAATGCTTCGACATGGCCTTTTAACTGGTTACTAAGGTAAACAATGGCAAAGATGGCTGTAGGTTTGAGAAATCCAATGAAAATGGAAACACAAGAATGTCAAACATGTCTTATTCGGTGGGAGAATTCAGCTCACACTTAATGTGTGTGGATAAACATACTCTTCACACTGGGCAGAGAAATCCAAATATGGAAACTCTGGTTGCCACCACATCTGTAAAAAGCAGAGACCCTGTTGTCCAGGCTTCCTCTGAGAGATTTCCAAGACAGAAGAGATGTTCTAGAAACTTAGATTCAAACCATGAAAAGCAACACATATCATCTTGCAGAGGCCGCACTGGCTAATATGCATTATTCAATGACTTAAAATCTCTCAAGGCTCCATTTGGCTTTCCTATATCCACTTAAGGAACACAGTCACTGTCAGAGGTCAAAGCTCATTAGTGTTGGAACCTAAATTCAATGCCCATGAGATATAAAATGCAGCTCTACACAAGGCCTCTGGCTCTGCTTAATTCATTATGACTTCTGGGTTCTCGTCAAGATAAGTCTCAAAATTCAGGCTCATATTTGCTGTGAAAAGAGACCTGGATAAGAGAAGGCTCCAATAAAGTGAAACTGGGTCCAAGCAGAAGAATCTTCAATACTCATTAAAAAAAAATACTCTAGACAAGCCAGTGGTACCCAAAAATTACCATGCCACTTAAAAATGAATGCAAGGACTGTAAAGACAATGCAAGAGCACAGGGCTTTTGGAAGTGACCTCAGCCTTCCTTCAGAATCACAGACAGTTAGGACAGGAGACTATTTACTCCAATTGCCTCATTATACGAAGGAGGGAAATGATTCAGGAGGGAAAATGAATCTCTAAAAGGCCCAGAGCAATTCTGAAATTAAAACCCAAATGGCCTTCTTCCTTACCTGTTTCTTTACTTCTCAGTGTTCATGGGGAGATTCACACCCTTCCAGCCATGGGAAGGGTATGAACTGGGAAAAATGGCTCCATGGGCAGACAGCAGGCAAGAAGTTCAACCCCTCAAAAGCATAAGGAAGGTCAGGTTCACCTCTAGTACCCCATCAGGCATACCTTATGTTAGTTCCTACAGATCTACTCTCACAAGAGCCCACATGGTACACATGCTTGTGTGTGCATCTCTTTTCTACTGCTTGAGCCATTGTCCTGGCTGGACCAACAGAACAGAAAACATGAATAGGAATCTAGAGTGGAAATTATGGGCATTATTCAGGAACATGAATTCTTGTAATACTAGACTTGCAGTCTTATGTCTTACCCCAAAAAATCACACACACCTTTCTTCTAAATCAAAAAGCAAAATCATGTAGAGGAGTGTGTCACAAGCTTCATGTACCTATGAAGAACCCAGCCAAGGATCTTGTTAAAACAAAGATTCTGATTCAATAGGTTTGGCACAGAACCTGAGATTTGAACTTCTAACTAACTCCCAGGCAATGGGGTTACTGCCAGTCTGAGGACCACACTGTGAGTAACAAGAGGTAGATGCTAACAAGCTTAGAATCAAACAAATCTGGTTTTTAGATTCTGGTTCTACCATTTGGAAGCTTTGTGATTTTGGGCTAGTTTCCTGATTTCACTATACCTCAATCTCCTCATCTCTAAAATGGAAATGATAACATATAAGAAGCACTTAGTGATGATTACATAAGTAAATGATGCAAAGCTTCTAACACAATGCCTAGCATATAAGAAAAACTTAATAAATGGCAGTGGCCGACTGCCCCTAAGATTCACAAGGGCAGGGAAGACAACTGGGTCATTGCCAAAACCACAACAGCTGAACATAGTAGGTACACAGTAGGTATTTGGGAATGAATGAGTGTATGCATAATACACTTGCATGCAATACCAATATTTATATAATCTCTAGATTCTGTGCTTTTCTGCAGGAAAATATAAAACATTTGGAACACCAGAACACTCTCATCAGTAACAAACAGTCATCTCATAGATTCTAATTCAACATTAACCACCATGTTTAACCACTGAGAAACATGTAATTTGTGGTGACTCTATAGACTTGAGAAAATGTCTTAACTGTAAATAAATAAAGACAACATCAGTCTGGAATCTGTATGTCATTAAGAGAAATTACTGCCTTGCTCATAATTTATGGGCTGTCTGAATGCAGATGTTATGAAAAACTTAATTCTAAAACTTCACTTCACTTCCAAACCAAATGGAGAACTACAAAGAAAGACAAAATAACCACAGGAAGCATGACTATGTTTTAAAGAGCCACTGGAGTAGGAGCACATTCTGTTAGAAATGCACATGGTTACTCAGGAAAAAAAAAATAGAAAAAAGAGAATCATTAACAAATGGTAGAGCTTATTCTTTTAAAGAAAGGCAGACAAGTAAATCCACCCAAAATTCTTTATCAATTTAGGGTTTCTTCTCCATCTTCTAAAGAAAGTGGCATCATTGGAACAGATCCCATTCAGAAAGGTATGGTGTAAGGTATGCAGAGCAAGAATACCATTGCCACCTACAGACAGAAGTGGCATTCCCTTTGCCAAGAGTTGGCCAATCATATTTTAATGTGAAAAAATTCAAGCAAGTCACCTCCCTCCAGCCTCTTCCTAACCACCATACCACATTATTTCATTTAGAATTACTTTTAAGTCATACAATTATTGCTAAGCATTCTTCCTCTTCATTATCATCATCCTATTTCTATCTATTCTATTCCCTGGAAACACTGTGCCATTCAACTATCTACTTATGCACTATTTGAGAGCCAAAGAGAATGCAAGCCAACAAACTGCAAGCCGATAAAGGCATCAGAGTGGAAATATAAATTCGCTTACCTGATATGAATGGGACCACCCGGAATATATCTGACAATCTGCTGTTAACAGGTTCATACGGGGAATCTTCAAGCAGATCATTTCCTAGAAACAACAGAAAAATTGGGCTCAGAACCGAAAAACAGAAACATTTCACGCAGTGTTTTGCTGCTGAATCTGAATTCTAATCGTGTTATGATTGTGTAACAAAAAGATACTAAAACTTTCATAGATTTCCAATGCATGTATTTGGCTGTGGTTATTTCTTTTCATTCCTCTGCCTTTGTTGTCCTGTTCTCCCTAGAGTGCCATGAAAATATTGGAGCACAACCCAGACTGATCTTGCCAGAAAACTCTCCCACTCTTTGCAAAGGAATGAAATCTGAGAGGAAAGAGCCAGTGACGTCAGAAACCTTCCTTGCCTCCAGGAGCCAATGGAAGAAAGGTGACCCAGAAGAGGCCCCCATTTGTTTGTTCCCAAAACACTGCATGTGGTTGGAAAGGAGAGACTCTGGCTATTCAAGAGTCCATCTCTTAAGCAGGTTTTCATTAATAGGTTCTTGGAGGAATTGGCAGCTGGCAGGTCAAATCTGTTATTACAAATTTTCAGCATAAATCTCAGTGGAGAATAAAGGCACCGGATGTTGGTGTTAGCTTTACAAACTCCTGCCACCACAGGCATACAGGTACCAAAAAATTCCCACTGGAATGGTGGGTTGTGACAAGTAAGTTCTTTCTCTCCCAGAGCTCCTTCTGTGTTAGCCAAGGTTGAACCACAGTATTTGGTTCAAGACTCAGCTAACCCAAGATGACAAATGGTTTTTCACCATGTGCCTTTGATCAGGTTTGAGAGGGGTAAAGAAAGAATGGATTATACTGGACCTTTTCTCCTTCTTTATTTCATGTCAGAATAGGTAGGTGGGAGGGAGGAACACTCCGCTCAAGATGCCAGGCAAGTCTTTGTATTATCATTCTCTGAAACCAGAGAAAACTACGGGTTCCTTTCTTAGCCTTTAATGGGTTCCTATTCTGATGCTCAGACCAGATTTCAGAAAGGTCAGCGGGGTCCGGGGCTGTCCCCACCCCCTCATGGGTTTTCCAACAACCAGCCCCAACAACACTGCTCAGCAGCAGCAAACACCAGCTGCCACTGTCCCCAGGGGCCAATGAAAGGTCCTCATTCCGCAGCTGGGCAGAAGTGAGTGGAGGATGAGATCAGCCGGTGGGGCCAGGGGACCACGGGGCCCGCCGGCCTCTGGAAAGGGACCCGGGCAGGAGGTGGGGGAGAGTTGGCGCGTACCCTGCAGGCTTTGGTACATGCTCCAATAGATCCGCAGGCAATTCTTCTCCTTCTTCATGCCCCGTTTGCATCGGCAGTTGTAGAGTGACTTCTGTTTCAGGGCCTCCATGGCGCTGCGGCACTCATCCTTAGCCTCGAGGCCCGATGCCAGGCTGAAGTTGGTCTCCTTGCCCGCCACGCACTGCCTCAGCGTGCGGTACTTGGTACTGCAGCTCTGCTCCTTCAGGCACTGATCGCTGGCTTTCACGCAGTCCAGGCGGTCCCCACCGCTCACCTCGGCTGACAGGAGCAAATCTGCAGGGTGGAAGGGAGCAAGCCTGAGTGCGGACAGACAGAGAGCCTTTCTCCCAGCCCCGGGGGAGGGCGCGCGCCCGAGCCAGGGAAGCTTGAGCTGCTTTCTGGGGCGCCCAGGGCAGGAAGCAGGACCACCCGCTTGCTCGGGGGAATCCACTTTCCGCCCTTAGAACTCCTAACACCATCCCCTCCTCCCTGGCCCACTGGGGAAGGTGGCGCGGGCTCAACCTGCGGACTTGACGGGGTTTGCCCAGGAGCTTGCGCTGCCCCATTGCACCGGGGCAGCGGGTTCCCAGCGGCTGCCCAGCCTCCCCAGACGCCCCAGCCCGGCTGTAGCCCGAGGGCTCGCGGTGGAGGAGGAACGCTGTGGCGCACCGGGCGTCCGGCCCACGCTGGGCGAGATGCGGCCGAACCGTGGCCCGCAGTCTGCCCGGTGGGGAGCGCCGGGACGTTATTCAGAGAAAAAGTTTTCCCTTCAAAGTTTGCTCTCCCGGCCCCAGTGTTCGCCCACACTCCACCTGCCCGCTCACCTCGGTGAGTTCTAAGGCGGCGCAAGAGGCATCCGAGCCGGGGCTGCAGAGAACGGACCCCTTTATTCCCAGCCAGACTGGGTTATTTCAAAGCACGGCAAAATGAAAACCAAGCACAAAAAGCTGCAGGCAGTATCGAGCCGCCACCACTTCCCAAGTCCAGGGATTCAGGATCCCCTGCCCCAAAACAAAACTTCTTCCGCCTACGTCCACTGCACCCTAGCAATTTTGGGGATGCTGCCGCAAGTGATCCACAGAAAGACTCAATGGATAAGAAAGCCAAAGGCGGCCTCGACTTACCCAGGAGAGGCAGCGCGAAGTATAGGGTCGCCAGGAACATGGTTGTCGGCGCTCAATGGTCCCCGCCCCCCAAAAATCCCGAGCCGCCGCTGGGTCTCGCCGAGGGAGCTCAGCATGCAGCGATCCCCTGACGGTCGCGTTCCTCTGGCCTCCCAAAGTTCAGCTCCATCCAGTGCGAAAGGAAACTCCTGGTCCGTCAGCCACCACCGTCGCCGGCGACTCAGCTCAGGGCGGGCGCTAGGGCGGGAGGCGGTCCCGCTTTTAGGGGTTCAAGTCCGACCCAACCTGGAAGGGAGAGCGCGCTTTGAAATGAGAGCCCAGAGTGCTGAAGCCTCCCCCCACGAGCCCTCTCCCCTCCCCCATTCCCGCCTTGGGGGACTTTCCAATGCCGGGTGAGGACCCACCCCCGCCCGAGTCTGGGCGCGCCGGGGGCGTGGGTGCATGTGCGTATATTCCGGGGCGGGGGGAAGGGAGGAGGTCCGGAATGGGTGGTCGGGGGCTGCAGAGGTCAGGTGCGGGCTCCCAAAGTCCAAGGAGGTGTCTGTCAGTGCAACCCAATAGGTTAAACGCGAGCAGATAAATAAACGTTACTTTCCGAGGGCTGCGAGAGGAGCCGGCCGCTGCCAGGAGACAGAGCCCTTGGTGCCAGCGGCGGCGGCAGCTCCCTAGCCAGTCCCGGCGCGGAAAAAGCCCCTTCTCCCGGGAAGTTGGCCGCCACCTCCCCGCGCCGGCGTCTCAATAGCTCGCTAGCTCGCTCTCTCGCAGCCTGCCCTCCGCAACCAAACCACCAATCGCTAGTCCGGGTCACCGAACCTACCCCTCCCCTCTCCCAGGCTTGTCTCTTTTCCAAGGCAGCGGGGCAAGAGGGAACCGACGTCCCGGCTAGGGCCGAAACCCGGCTCCTGCGCCCCTACCCGCCGCCAGTCCTCGTATCTCTCCCGAGCGTCTGCGCCTCACACACTCGCCTAGCGCGCGGGGCTCGGGTGCGTCCACACCACACCACTCCTGGCTATAGTGCCGGCAGCACTCGCACACCCTGGCAGGTGCAAATCCGCGCCACTAGCGTCCCTGGATCCCCAAAGTTGGAGGACGCCTGCAAGACTGAACTGGGTAGCTGGAGCCAGGTTATTGGGAGCAGAGATGGCTTTCTAAATAGAACAAGAAAACTCCAAATGCCACCAACCTGGACTCAATCGACCGTGTCCAGCTGTGACGAAAAGACTATTTATTTATTTATTTTTTATTCTTTGGGGGGTGTCCCCCCCCTTGCCTTTCCGGGCTCACTTTCTCTGCGCTATGAGAAAAGATACGGTAATCTAGAGCTCGGAGGGCCGAGTTGGCCAGGATGATTTCGGAGCCGAGCCCCTAGCTTGGATGCCCATTAGGAATGTCAGTGGTTATTGGAAGCCATGGGAAGGATGGCGTGGTCAGATTTCTCCTGGCCAGAGGACCTTAGGCCTGCTCCTAACGCCCGGCTGTGCACTGCCAGTCCGCTCCTCAGCTCGCCGGCACGGTCGCAGGAGATGCACACGCTGGTCCCTGTGGGACTCCGGGCCCGCACGCGCGCACGCAGGACATGCAGCACTATGCAACCGGCCGCAGCCTCTCTCTCTCTCTCTCTCTCCCTCTCTCTCTCTCTCTCTCTCTCTCTCTCTCTCTCTCTCTCTCTCTCTCTCACACATACACACACACACACACACACACACACACACACACAAGAGCTCAGTACAATCCAGCCTGTCCAGCCAGATCTTTCTTCTAAACACAAAGTTTTTCCCCACGTCACTCGCGGCTGTGACTCAAGACTTGGCGCGTTAAAGACAGTCAGACCCAAGCCCACGGAGCGCCAATCCTTCGTCTGCGCCCGCGCTCACCCATATACACTCAGACCACACGCAGTCTCTACCTATGTCCTCCAGCTTCCACAATGAGACAAAAGCAAAACCCGCAACCCACTGCATTTAAGTCTAGTCACACCCATTTGCTTTGGGAAATTTATAAGGCGACTTCCATCTTGACTATTTCAAGAGTAAATTTAATTTTTTAAAAAAGAAATCTGAACATATACACAGTCCTTCACCCTAATCTCAAAGACCGTCTTTCTTTCACAGTCTTGCTGCTGAACGCCCTATCTGTTCAACACAGTCTCGGCTTCCTGCTTGTCGAGGTGGGAAGGAGGACGCCCCGGGTACCAAGGTCTAAAAATCCGGGCCTGAGATCGGGTCTAAGGTATAGTCCTCAGTGGTGGGTGGCCGTCTGGCAGCTCACGGCTTGTATTGGAGATCTTTGCTGAGGTCCAAGTTCATCTCTCAGGAAAACTGAGTTTGAATCAAGTCTGTATGAGCCCAGCTGTCAAATCTGCAAACCCATCACATCAGACAATGGGCCACCGCGGAGGACAGAAAAGAAACGCTCCTTTATATACAGGGGGTTAATTGAAAAGGGCACAGGCTTTGGTTGAAGTTTGAGGCCCCGGGTGTAAGGGCGGGGAGAAGAGGAGGAGGGATGGGTAGCTCCCTATTCAACTACACATCAGCCAGGCGCGCCCTTCAGCTGCTGCGGCTGCCAGCATGCTTGCTGCGCATTGTTTGGAGTCGCCAAAGAGTGTCTGCGCCTCAGTGCACACCCCAAACCCTGGGGACATCCCACCAATCCAAGCTCTTCCTTTGCTGTGCACGTGTTCCTCAGGGGCAGGTAGGAAGAGATTGATGCCTTCGTTGGGAATCCCTCCCCCAACATACACACGCAGTCACACCAAACACAGATTTCTAGTTCAGTGTATCAGTTTACACTTCGTTGTTGAATAAACAAAGCAAACATATGTCACATTTTCGCGACAGATGGTTCAAACCAAGGGCTACTTAAGTTCTCTTTCTACCATAGTAAGTCTAAGTTTCAGGGTGGACTAAGCAGAAATATAATTAGATCTTCCAGTGGGTTTATTTGCCTTAAGGAAGTTTTTTTCTCCCCTATTTTCACACGCAAATCACAGAAATCCTGAGAGGTGGTTTTAGTGAGAAGAAAGGCTGAAAAGCAACTGAGAATTTTTATCTGGAGACTGTGATTCCCCAAAACATAAAACGCTGTTTCGTCGTTCTATTTCACGAGTGGAAGCAAACTTCTCCTTTGGGAAGTCAATAATTGGAATTCAAATTGTCAATGGATGGACGCGTGTTATCATTGCTGACCACTTGGCATGACTGAATGACAATGAGATTTCATTGAAGACATCGTCCATCTCTCTTGCAAGTGTCCTTTATTTAGAAAAGACTATATTACACTACATATTCCACGAAAGTCTTTTAAATCAAATTTTAACAGGAAGGAAGAAGGGTGGAATAAGATTTATCCAAATGTAGAATACTTTAAATTATTTATAGATTTAAGAATATTTCAGGCCCATTCTTCACACCAGTCCTCATTAAGTTCTTACTGATAGTGAAGATGGTAATTTGTTTTAAAAAATAATAAACCACTGGCTGCTATAACTGTGTTATCCAATACAATAGTCACTATTGAACTATTTCAGCGAAATTGACTAAAATTAAATACAAGAAAAATGTAGTACTTTAGTAGTATTAACCTGTGACTAATGGCTGCCATATTGGATAGCACGGAATATTTCTGTCATCACAGAAAGTTCTAGTGGACAGCACTATGCTCTAATGTCAATGTGACATTAGGTATTATGGTTTATATATAAAATTTTTCAAACAGCAGGTAGGCATAGGTGTGGAGGATACTTTCTAAGCAGTGGGAGTTGTTGTGAAGATAATGATAATGATGAGAGTGATGCTGATAAAGTAGCTCTTGGGGGAGTCAAAAAATCCATGAAGAGGAAGCCCATTCCTGATGTTCTCCACTCAGGGTGAGATCAGTAGGCAAAGAAACCAAGAAGTAGAACAGTAGATATGTCAAAATGCTCCTCTCCCCCGGACAGCTGTGAATGATAATATGTGTCCCATACTCTAGCCTAAGACTTTTTCTAGCCAATAAAAAATAATCACAGCTTTACAACTATATCCACTAACTTCTAAAGGCGAGAGAAGCATCGGCCAAAAAGCCCTCAGAATATGGAAGATAGAACAGCACTGTGGCTTACTACATTAATACTATCTAGGTTTCCTTGGAGCTTATCTGTTTCCATGTGTGTAGGACTGATCTCAGGATAAAAGGTGACATAAAAAGATCAAATATTAATAATTATAAAGATTCACACACTCCTCTGTGACATGTTTTCTCAGCAGAAAATTGGTTTTAATGCTACAAAAATTAGGTTTAATCTACCCATGAGTACGTGAAGTGAGCAATCTTCTTGTATTTTTTGATGTAAGTATATTTTCATAAGTTAATAGATGAGTCACTGTGAGAATGACAGTTTTATTCCATGAAGCATTTTGTCTCTTATTCTCAATGCCTTGGCCCTATGGTATATTACATAAAATATGTTCACTTCATGAAAATTATACTGCACAAAATCATTCATCTTTCTTTAACTCAGACTAGACTATCAGAGTGCATCATTTGACTTTAGACAGTTTGGCAGGCTTACCTCTGTAGCTACACAAAACCATGCACCAGTCCCCAAATGTGTCATGCTTTTCTTTCTTTCTTCTTTTCTTCCTTCCTTCCTTCCTTCCTTCTTTCCTTCCTTCCTTCCTTCTTTCTTTCTTTCTTTCTTTCTTTTTTGCCTATATACTTTCCCCAGTTTCGTTCCATCTGCCACAATGTAAGCTTCATCCTGATAACATTCAGGTTCAGCTCAGCTGAGTCGGACACTAAGGATAGCAAAGATCCCTGGTGTCAGAACCAATAGTTCTCTGTTCTATAGTCCCTTGCCTCACTGGAACCTAGGTCAGATCTGTGGTGACAATGTATAGTGTTATTTGTTCCATCTGTTTCCTCAATTGGAATGTGAGCTCCTTGAAGGCAGGACCATGGTCTGGTCATTTTCTTGCTGCTGTGGCTGTTGTTGTTATTTTTGTTGCTGCTATTGCTTTGCATATCCAGCATTTAGACTTACAGCTGATGTACACTCACCCACAATAAATGCATATTGATAGCAACAATAATGAGTAGCGCTGTTCACATTTTCTCTGACACCATAATTTTATTGAAAGATTTACATGAAATCCCTTTACTATAGGAACAATACTAAATATAAGTACTTCATACAATTACTGGTATTGCTGTTCCAATAATAGTATCAAATATGTATTATTCCTTTGGGGATTTGACATTTACATTTTTTTAAACAAAACCCATTATTGTAATAGAATGCTCCTTTTTCTGGTTCACTTTAATAGTAACATATGACATATTTCATTTCTGGGAAATGATAGCTTGCTTTAGGTCATATTTTAAGGCATAAAGCCAGCAGCAGAGTAATATTCCCACCTTCGGTTCTGTAATCATCTGGAAATGCACCTCTCTGGGAGAAAGGCCAGATTGCCACCACCCTGGAGCCTTCATCTTCAAAGGTGAATTTTTAAAAGCCAAATTAGCCAAAATTATTAAAAATTCCTCTATCAACACACAAGTCCTCTTGCAATCTTATAGAGACATTATTAATCATCCAAACCAGAAAGCTGGCATGAGACTATATGCCGACATAAATCTCACCTTCTAATGCTGCTCGTTGACACTTGGCCTTTGGCAATACAGGAAGAGCCAGTCCTCAGATTTCAGGG